CCCATCATGCTCATCTCAAATTTTCCTTGCATGAGGGTTGAGAACTTAGTGCATAGATCTTCCTTAGTTGAGCCAAATATGATGTCGTCCACATAGATTTGGACCAATAAGAGATCTTCACCATCTTGTAGTTTGAACAATGTCTTGTCAATGACTCCTTTGGTAAATCCATTGTCTATAAGAAATTGAGACAATGTATCATACCAAGCTCTTGGTGCTTGTTTGAGTCCATATAGCGCCTTTTTGAGTCTATACACCTGATCTCCCTTAGTGTGTAACTCAAATCCTGAAGGTTGTTCTACATAAACTTCTTCCTCGAGGTTTCCGATGAGGAATGCGCTTTTGACGTCCATTTGATAGACCTTGAAGTCCTTGTGAGCAGCATAGGCTAGAAACAGCCTTATAGCTTCAAGTCTAGCAACTGGAGCGAAGGTTTCATCAAAATCTATACCTTCTTCTTGACAATATCCTTTAGCAACTAACCGGGCCTTGTTTTTGACATCAACGCCATTTTCATCCATCTTGTTCCGGAAGACCCACTTTGTCCCAATGACATGTTGATGAGTAGGTCTGGGAACAAGTTTCCAGACGTCATTTCTGGAAAATTGGTTTAGTTCTTCTTGCATTGCATTGATCCAATCAGAATCAGCTAGAGCTTCTTCAATATTCTTTGGTTCCACTTGTGAGATGAAACAAGCAAGCATAGCTTCTAGATTCTGTTGGGCACTCCTTGTGCGAACGCCAGATTGAATATCTCCAATGATCTGTTGAGGAGGATGATCCCTTAACCAACGAAGATTGTGTTGATTGGGATTGACTGGTTGATCTAGTTCAGCTTCTGGTTGAAGGACAGACGTTGTTTGAGATATCCGGAATATTGAAAGGCTGGCCAAGATTTCCGGAGGGCTCAGCATTGTCTAAATCTGGATTCCTCTGTGAAGTCTTCAGAGGCAGACTTCTGAATGGAATGAACTCTATAGGTTTCATTCTATCTCCTTCATTGACTTCTTCATCCTTGTCTGATAGATCTAGAACCTCATGATCATGCTTTGATGGTTTGTCAACCACATGTTTTTCATCAAAAATAACATATATTGACTCTTCAGTGATCATGGTTCTTTTGTTGAAGACTCTGAATGCCTTGCTTATCATGAAATATCCTAGGAAGATGGCCTCATCTGATTTCTCATCAAAAGTGTTCAGATGATTCTTCCCGTTGTTTAACACAAAGCATTTGCTCCCAAAAATATGGAAATATGATATATTAGGCTTTCTCCCGTTCCATAGTTCATAGGGAGTTTTGTTGTGCCTTTTATAAATCATACTCCTATTTTGAGTATAGCAGGCTGTGTTAACCGCTTTAGCCTAGAACCTCTTTGGTAAGGAGGCTTCTGCTAGCATGGTTCTCACTGCTTCCTTCAGGGTTCTGTTCCTTCTTTCAGCTACACCATTCTGTTGAGGTGTCCTTGCTGTAGATGTCTGATGAAGAATTCTGTTTTCTTCACAGTAGTGAATGATGATTTCATTCAGGAATTCTGTGCCTTTGTCAAATGTGATCTTCTGAATGGTCTGACTTGCTTGGTTTTGAATCAGCTTCATGCAATTGGTGAGTTTCCCTTGAGTCTCCTTCTTGCCGTTGAGGAAGATTGTCCACGTGTATCTTGAGTAATCATCAACTACCACAAGGACATATTTCTTTCCACTTAGACTTATTGGTGTAACAGGGCCAAATAAGTCCATGTGAATAAGACTTAATATCCTTGTAGTTGAGGGTGCCGATTTTGCCTTGAAGGTGGACTTGACTTGCTTTCCTTTCTGGCAAGCATCACAGATGCTTTCCTTTCTGAAAGCAGTTTTGGGAAGACCTTCTACTAACCCTTCTTTGGACAGCTTGTTGA